GCTGGGAAATTGTAAGGATTACGGGGTGGTCCGTGGCCTCAGATGCAGCTGAACAATCTGGTCAAGAAAAGATTGAGAGCTGTCTGCTGGATTGGGAAATATGAAGGTCACTAGTGACCCTGAGAGCAGTTGCTGACCTCGTGAAAGCAACTTCAGTTGAGGGGTGTGGTGGGGACAGAGTGGAAGACACTGTAGTGGGAATGGAATCGAATGGGAGGCAAGGACAAGAAAACAATCACAGGAGGCAACCAATGCAGGCGAAAGAACAAAGGCTTTTGGTTTTGACCTTGCACCCAGGCTGGGCTCCACCCATCCAGCTTCCCTACTGCCACTAGTGACATGTTCTAAAAATCAAAATTAATCATACCACTTCCTGTTGTTATTAACATCTGCTAGCTTGCCAGTTGCTGAACAGTGGAGAGCAGAGTCCAGTGCCAATCTGTTTAGTATACTTTATTTCTCAGACTTGGTTTCTTCATCACTTGTAAAGGAGAGTCGCACAGGTCCATAATCCCTTATCCAAAATCCTTGGAGACACCTATCTTTCGGAATTCACAGCTTGCTGGATTCTAGAAAGGTAATGTGGTACACATGCCATATATTACATAATACCTCCAGAAGAGACTAGTCTCCACCCTATAATCAAATACACCAACTTGGACAAATAAAGACTACAAATAGCCTTATGAGAGGGCAGGTCAAGTTTTCCACCAAGATATCAAGATACTTCTGTTTTTCAGAGCTTTTCAGATTTTCGGAATTATGATAAGGGCTCGTGGACCACCCTCACAGGGTTGTTTTAGTGCTCAAATGAGATACGTGTGCGAAGATGAAGCCAAAAGGATAACCACAAAGGGTGCAGAGACCCTGCTCTTCCTGACTCTGGGAATGAAAGGAATTTTTCTTTTGTGACGTGCAAGTGTGAGCAGTTTATAAAGGACACTCTTTGATAGCCCTTCGGAAGCTATTTCTCCACAGCTGGAAAGAATAACCTACTTTAAAGAATGCACCCAAGTGCGGCTGGGAACATCCCTTCTTCCTCATCCTGTTTTCTCTCTCTCTTTAGGGGCTGGGCTGGGCTAAGCTCGGGAGATACTGGAACTCATCATGGGAACCCTCACAATGGAAATCACTTCTTTATTGTCACCCTGCCTTCTAAGCTGTGATCTCGATGAGGCAGGGACGAGGTCTTTCTTGTTCACTGCTGGGTCTCCAGTGCCTAGCACAGCTCCTGGTGCTTGATATGCCCAGGGTGGGCACTTGATATATGTTTTGCTGAATTGAATTGATCTCTTATGTTCCTCATTGTGATGAATGCAAAGTTGGCATTGTCTTCACTCCCATTGTTTTCACCTTCAGGCAAAAACCCCTCCTCCCGGAGGGTCATTATTTCTGACTCTGCCCTCTCTGCCTGGTTCTTTATGGCTCCCCCAACCCTGTTCTCATTAACTGAGGATTTGGGCCGCTGGCTCACAGCCTTCTCCTACATCCTATCCCCTTTCTTACTCATATGTGACTTTGATCCTAGTATGGACAACCCGGGAACCATTCTCCTCCAAAATGTTAAACCCCAATATCTCATCTGACCATAACTTCAGTTCCTCTTTCCTATTATATTACGTTCAGATTTCCTAGAGACCTGGTCCCTTAAACTCTCTCTTTTGACCCAATTAATTATCCCATGATTTATCACTTCAACTGCTCTCTTGCCTGTACCTTCAATATTTTTGTCCCCTTGTCCTTCTGCCTTGCATACCCTGCAAATCCCTCCTATCTGCCATTTCCATTCTAAGACCCAAGCTTCTGGATGGTGCTGGAGACCATCCAGATTGGGGCAGATGTGCAGATTGGGGCAATTCCCAGGGTATGATCTACAGTTTCAGCTGGGCCTTCAACTCTGTTTGACATACTTTTTTTGTAAGTTTCTGGTCTGCTTCCTTACTCATTTCGCACAATGGCTTTTCTAAATCTTCTCAAGGCTCCAAACCCACTCTTGCCCTCCTGTCTTAGAAGATGGCCTTGCCTCTTAGGTGGCAAAGAAAGTTTACCTTCTTGTCCTCGTATCTACATATTCACCTGTATCCTTACCCACCTTACCCTCCTTCCCCACCACCTCAAAGGCAATGGTGAATCTTCTGTTTTCATACATCTGTGCCTTTAGTCCTCCCCTTCATGTTTCCCCTGAAATCTTGCTTTCCTCTTTCTCTTGTATTTTTTAATCTTTCCATCTCTTACAATTCCTTCTCTGAAAGTTATAAACAGGCACAAAATCTTTCCATCTTAAACAATAACACTTTCTCTACCGGTGTCTTTGGGCCATCTTCTTACCTCCTCTTCTTTTTTTTATTTTTATTTTTATTTATTTAACATCTTTATTGGAATATAATTGCTTTACATGTTGTGTTAGTTTCTACTGTATAACAAAGCGAATCAGCTATACGTATACATATATCCCCATATCCCCTCCCTCTTGCGTCTCCCTCCCACCCTCCTTATCCCACTCCTCTAGGTGGTCACAAAGCACCGAGCTGATCTCCCTGTGCTATGCGGCTGCTCCCCACTAGCTATCTGTGTTATATCTGGTAGTGTATATATGTCCATGCCACTCTCTCGCTTTGTCCCAGCTTACCCTTCCCCCTCCCCGTGTCCTCAAGTCCATTCTCTATGTCTGTGTCTTTATTCCTGTCCTGCCCCTAGGTTTGTCAGAACCATTGTTTTTTTTTTTTTAGATTCCATATATATGCGTGAGCATACGGTATTTGTTTTTCTCTTTCTGACTTACTTCACTCTGTATGACAGACTCTAGGTCCATCCACCTCACTACAAATAACTCAATTTCATATCTTTTTATTTACTTCCTCTTCTGTTTGTGGTTAAGCTCTTATAAAGGAGAGTATAAAGCAACTGCCTTCACTGTTCTACCTCTTCAGCCTCTTTCAGCCAGTTCTACTCAAACCCCAGTCTGACTGAGGGTTCTCTGGCTGAGGGTCGCCAATGGCCTCCCAATGACTACAATCAGTGGACTCATTTTTGTTCTCTTTGTACTCGCTCCCTACCCGCCATCTGACACCACTGACTACTCCCTCCTCAAAACCTTCTCCCCGCCACTTCCCAGACGCTCCTGGTCTCCTTTTATCCCTCTGATAATTTCTGCTTCGCCCCCTTTGCGAACTCTACTGGCTCTCTCTAACCCTTTGTACATGTGGCTGTTTCGCAAGCTTTGTCCTTAGTCTTCTCTTCTTGTGCTGTGTCCTCTCCCCAGGAAGGCTCAACTAAGACCTATCTGCTGATGACTCCTATTTCATACAGCTCCTGGAGTTACCGATGGAGATACCCAGCTAAGCTACCAGACATCTTCACCTGGATGTCCCAAAGATATTTCAAACTCATCAAGTTCACAGCTGGACTCATTGTCTTCCCCAATCTCCCCCAGACCTTTTCTTCTTCCCTTTCCCCTGCATCAGTCAATGGCATCACCACCTCCACTGGCCCAGGAGTCATTCTACTTTTTCCTCTCCTGCATACCCCACATCATTCACTGAGTAAATCTCAAAACTGTTTCCTCCTCTCCATTCCTAAGCTAGTGCCTTAATTCAGATCCATGGCTTTTTTTTTTTTTTTTTTGTAAAATATTGGCTATATTCCTTGTGCTGTACAATATATCCTTTAAAAAATTTTTTTGGAGTATAGTTGTTTTACAATGTAGTCTTAGTTTCAGGTGCACAGCAAAGTGAATCAGTTGTACATATACAATATATCCACTCTTTTTTAGATTTCTTTTCCCATATAGGTCACTACATAGTACTGAGTAGAGTTCCCTGTGCTATACAGTAGGTCCTTTTTAGTTATCTATATGCCTGTATTACTGCATGAGCATCTTAAGAGGTCTCCCCATCTCCAGGTTTGCCACTTCACTTCAGTCTTTGTGTGAAGCTGGAGCCCTATCATATGCAAATCAGCTTAAATCCCTTGCATGGGCAGGAAAACTAGAGTGACAGAAAGCAGATCAGTGATTGTCTGGGGTTAGGGGTGCAGGTGGTGGGACTGAATATAAAGAAGCATAAGGGAACTATTCTGGAGATAGAGATGTTCCTTATCTTGATTGTGATATCTGGTATATGGGCATATACCCATATTTTAATATATAAATGTGTGTGTGTGTCAAAATGCATCAACCTGTACATTTAAAACTGGTGTGTTTCATTGTACAAAAAAATATTCTTCAATAAACTTGATTAAAGAAAAATACCCTTCTAAATCACTCCATTGCCTGGAGAACAAAGTTCAAATGTCTTCTCCTGGCTTAAGTGATGACACGATTTCTTCCCTTGATTCTTTTCTTCCCCCATCCCCCAAATACCTATCACATTAAATACACTACAGATCTAAAGTGGGCCTAGATATCCTGCCCCACCTTGCCCACCTGTTGGACATCCACCATGTTTATCTAGATTCGGCTTGTGCCATCACTATAGCATCCCTCCACCCACACGTGATTACTCTTCCTTTGTGCTCTACTAACCCGACATAAATATCCATCACATTAAGTTTTCGGTTGCATTCTTGTGTTTATGTCTCCTCTCTCTTTTACTAAGCTGTAGGTGTGACAGCTGGACCCTAATGTCTCCATTCTTGTAGCTCCAGCGCTTATCACTAAGCCGCTCAATGTTTGCTGAAGAAACCTGGGCTTTACCATTGCAGTCCCGCCCAAAGAACAGCGGGACAGATTCTCCTCCAGTCCTACAGGGGGCGCTGTGGCAACCTCCATCGTCTCCTCGCTATCCACTTCTCTGGACCAGCTCTCAGAGCCACACGCTCGGGGCTCCACCTCCTACTTGGCAACATCCCTCCTTTCCATTGGGCGACGGCGGTCCGGGCCGTCCAATGGAACGAGGCGTTGGTGCGAAGAGGCGCCACCATCGTTGAGCGGCTGGGTCTCTGCTGCAGTAGGTGGCTGCGAGAGGTAGGGAGGTAGGTGGGCTGCGTCGCGTCGCCTCAGGTCCGTAGCTTTGCCTCCCTCTCCTGTTCTGCCGCGGGCCGAGGATGCCGCAGTACCAGACCTGGGAGGAGTTCAGTCGCGCAGCGGAGAAGCTCTACCTCGCAGACCCTATGAAGGTAAATCACTGGAGGGGCCAGTGCCTCTGTCCCAGCCCCCGGTCAGGATAACTTCTCTGCCGTCCGCTCGGCCTCCGAAGCTTCTCCAGCATCCTAGTAGGTGCTGTGAGTGAGGAGAGACGGACCCCGCCAAGTCCGCTTGTTCCTCCCTTATTAACGGCCCGATGAAGCCCTGAAACGGGCAAGATCGGGGTCATTTCAGGGCCCTTAGGTAGCTTTCCTCCGCCCCCAATCCCTGAACATCCCTTATGGCTGTCGTTGGTTTACGTGTCTCTAAGGGCAGGGCTCCTCCTCCTGCAGTTTCGACCTTCTGTCCCTCAGCTGTTTTGGTGCCCTTGTCCCATACTACCTTGTGTAAGATAAAACGGTTATGTTTTTCTGCCACCGCAGAGAAATTTTGGAAAGACCCCAGTTTGGAGGCATCTACAGCCATTAGCTTAGTGGTTCTTAATCTTTTGGAGGTCAGTGCCTTTTTGAGAACACGAGATGCTTGCACCCTTTTCTCAGAAAAATCCACTTGTACGTAGAAGTTTGTAAACAATTTTAGAGGGCCCGTGGATCCCTGTAATTCATGCATGGCCCCCACAAAAATTATAATAAGTGAGTGTCAGAGGTTAGCTTATTATTAAAAAGCAAAGAAGTCGCAAGGATGAGAATATAGCATTTGGGTCTTGACTTTTCTTCCTCTCGGGTTTTTATTTATGTTATTGTCATCTAAATAATATGTGAAGCAGCTCCCTGTTAATTAGAAATTTTGCTAGCGGGACTTCCCCGGTGGCGCAGTGATTAAGAATCTTCCTGCCAGTGAATGGGACACGGGTTCCATCCCTGGTCTGGGAAGATCCCACATGCCGAGGAGCAAGTAAGCCCCTGAGCCACAACTACTGAGCCCACGTACTGCAACTACTGAAGCCCGCGCGCCCAGAGCCCTGCTTCGCAACATGAGAAGCCACTGAGATGAGAAGCCCGCACACCACAATGAAGACCCAATGCAGCCAGAAAAAAAAAAAAAAAATCCTGCTAGCTTTTTAGACCTAGATAAGTAACAAGAAGCTGTAAAACATTCTTAGTTTCATTCTTTGCAATACAAAGATGTAATAATAACAAATTATGAAATGAGTTAGATATTTTTGAAATTGAGTACTTTGTTTATGACACAATTTCTGGCTCCATTTGGTAGATTTTTTTGTAGGGCCATCTGTTTCTTTAAGCAGTACACCATGAGGACAATACAGGATTTTTGTCCAGAAGTACCCACAGTGTAAACTAAAAATATTTGAAAAGATAGTAAAGAATATACAAATTCACATCAAGAGTAATCATATTTTAAGAATGTGGTCATTCTTAGGGAAAATGAAAATAAAATGGTAATTACAGAGCATTGCTGTGAACAAGGCATGTCTAGTATAGGCAAGAGAGCGAGAATCTTTGAGCTCTTTCCCCAATCAGAAAATTCCAGTGGCCTAAAAACTTGTGCCTTCTTATGATAGCCTTGCACTAGTTAAAAACTAGTGATTTTTTTGATTGGAATGTGAGGGGATGAGTGGGGAGAGACTGACAGTTATATTGAGTACCTTGTATGTGACAGACATTTTATATATATATTTATTTGTATAATTTATGTGAACAATTAAGACAGCTCCTTGAGGTAGATGAGTAAACAATCTTAGATACACTAAATGATTTGCTTAGTCTCTAAGAAATGAAGCTAAAATTTGAACCCACGTCTCTAAACCCCATGTTCATGCTATTCCTACTGGTCCATACTGCTGGGACTAAAAAAGAAAAGAAATTTTGTCAGAACTCTTTGGGATCTGTTTTACAGAATTCTGTCTTCTCTCCCTGTTGATTACATCCATCACCTTTTACCATTCTCTGTTGCATCTGCTCTAACTGAAGATGGCATTATTTCTGGACCACTCTCATACCACAGCTATCTAAAACACAAAAATTGAATTCTCAGTTTCCTGCTTTAAACCTGGTTCTTCATTGATTGCTGGTAGACATCCGGACTCCCAGTCTCCAGTCTGACCCTCTCTCCAGTCTTGCTGGCTTTGTCTTCCACCATTTCCGCCATACTCAGCCCTAGTCTCATGAAGCTACATAATGTATCATATCTTCAGATTGCCACTTCAGCTTTTCTCCTAACTTCTTCCCTAAAAGAAAAAAAGAAATGCATTTCTGAAGCCATCTCTATAAAGCCTTTTTACACTTCCTCTTCTCCCAATCTAAATTACTTGCGTCCTCTTTTAACATTTTACCTGTATATGCCTTTATAGGGCTTAATTTATGTTGTCTTATGTTTTGATTATTTTGCTTGGTTGAATTCAAAGTTCCTAAGAAAGCAAGAACCTTGATTTCTTTTTCTCTCTTAGTGGCATCTGACATGGTAACTTAGGTGCTCCCTACGTTACAAAATGGACTCTCTTGTAGTACCACAGACCTTTTAACTCTCATTTCTCCTACTCGCCAGTAAGTATTCTTTTAAGTGAGAGTTAAAACTTTCCGTAGTTGTCATGCTTAGTATATTTTTTAGTTTCAGTTTCCTTTTGTTTCCGGAGGACTGAATTTTTTTAAATACGTAAAACTGATTTTAATAGCTCAATAAATAGAATCAGGTAGTCTAAAGGTACTTAACCTAGTTGTCATTATTTATACCTACTTAAGTGCTTGGTGCGTTCCCTTTCCTCCCTCACCAAGACAAATCTCAGGGTGGTATGACTATTTTTTTTGCAATCCCAGGAGAGCAGAGAGCATAATGGGAAAAGCTGTAGGAAAAGCTCTAATAGCCCTTTTTATCTAGTTTCCAGAATTGTCTTGAGGGTCCTGTGCTACACTGTAACCATTTTAAAATTATGTTCCTGTTTTGGCTTATAGATACTTAGCACTTTTTAAAACAGCTAGCTAAAACTAAACAAGAGTTATTTATTTTGGTTAACAAGAAACTTGACTCTGCTGCAGTACACTTTTGAATCCATCATTTAAAGTAGTAAAAATAATGTTCATGGAAGTTGTAAACTCTATTGGGAGATGTCTTCTTTTATTGGAATATCGTAATACCTAAATCATTTTCTTGGCTTCCTAACTGTAGAATACCAAACAACAAAAAGTGCTGTGTAGCATGGCACTCAATATAGGAGTTATTCTGGATTTAGAAAGTTGTTGATGGAGACATCATGTTGTGCCATCATGATAAAGATGTGATTTCGCTGAGTAACTTAGCCTGAGTCCACCTCCTGAGAGCCATGGGAAAATGGAAAGTATGAACTGCAACTGCAGGGCTCTTTCCTGGGGAATGGATTTGAACTGAACTAGCCATTTCTGTTATTTTTTTCCCCTTCTTTGCCTATCATTCATCTGTGGCTAGGTGTGTTGGTATTGTAGGGGAGAAACATCTTTCTCCTTTACTCTCTTAGGTGTTATGACTGGGGCTCTGCAAATTAACAAGTAGAAACATACATAGCACAGAAGTTCACAAAGAAATGTGAACTGAGGAATTTAGGACCTTTATGCCATCTTAACAAAGGGTGGGAAAGAGGCTGGACAAAGGAAAAGAGGTTTGGGGCTTCTGGGAGGGGGTAAGTTGTGAGAAGGTGACTAGGAAATGTATGGGAAATAAGAGTTGTTTAGTAAGGTTTGTTAGGGAACAAACCTTGTTCTCTTCCCAGGGAGAGGGAAACACCTTTACAACTGGAAACTTACATCACCTTTACAAAGGTTAATTTATGTCCTGCTTTTGGCCAGAAAGGGCAGAGAGCTAATCTCCTTCAGCTCAGAGCATTCCTTATGCCCAAGTGGTATACTTTGAGGTGGCAAGCTGTGAATACCCTTCAGTATATTATTCTTACTGGCAAGAAATGCCAAACCACCTTAAGAGTCTCACAGGCTCTCTGAATATGGATGTGTCTTGGGAATTTTCAGTACATCTCTTCAAAGTCTTAAAAAATTGCAGCAATAGAAATGAACAAAATGCTGTTTTCCCGCATTTCAATAATAAGTTTACAGTAAAGGTGCCTTTAGATGTTTTGGCTATTAATTCTAGAAGGATCCATTTTAGCCCAGCTGAAGACTAAATTATTTATGAGAAATGTCTCTGACTTCACTGTTTCTAAATATGTATTTTTATTTCAGGCACGTGTGGTTCTCAAATATAGGCATTCTGATGGGAGTTTGTGTATTAAAGTAACAGATGATTTAGTTGTAAGTATACATTTTTATTTGTTGCATACTTTCAGATTTGTTTGAGTTAACCATTTGTTTGAAATTATTTACATAGAATTTATGCAGATCACCCATTAGGATGCTTATTTCACATTTCATTCCCAAGTCAAGAACATTGGTCTGGAAGCTTTTTTTTTTTTTTTTTTTTACATCTTTATTGGAGTATAATTGCTTTACAATGGTGTGTTAGTTTCTGCTTTATAACAAGGTAAATCAGTTATACATATACGTATGTTACCATATCTCTTCCCTCTTGCATCTCCCTCCCTCCCACCCTCCCCATCCCACCCCTCTAGGTGGTCACAAAGCACTGAGCTGATCTCCCTGTGCTATGCGGCTGCTTCCCACTAGCTATCTGTTTTACTTTTGGTAGTGTATATATGTCCATGCTACTCTCTCACTTTGTCACAGCTTATTCTTCCCCCTCTCCATATCCTCAAGTCCATTTTCCAGTAGGTCTGTGTCTTTATTCTCGTCTTACCCCTAGGTTCTTCATGACCTTTTTTGTTTTCTTAGATTCCATATATATGTGTTAGCATATGGTATTTGTCTTTCTCTTTCTGACTTACTTCACTCTGTATGACAGACTGTAGGTCCATCTACCTCACTACAAATAACTCAATTTCGTTTCTTTTTATGGCTGAGTAATATTCCATTGTATGTATGTACCACGTCTTCTCTATCCGTTCATCTGATGATGGACACTTAGGTTGTTTCCATCTCCTGGCTGTTTTAAGTAGAGCTGCAATGAACATTTTGGTATATGACTCTTTTTTAATTATGGTTTTCTCAGGGTATATGCCCAGTAGTGGGATTGCTGGGTCATATGGTAGTTCTATTTGTAGTTTTCTAAGGAACCACCATACTGTTCCCCATAGTGACTGTACCAATTCACGTTCCCACCAGCAGTGCAAGAGTGTTCCCTTTTCTCCACACCCTCTCCAGCATTTATTGTTTCTAGATTTTTTGATGATGGCCATTCTGACCGGTGTGAGATGATATCTCATTGTAGTTTTGATTTGCATTTCTCTAATGATTAATAATGTTGAGCATTCTTTCATGTGTTTGTTGGCAATCTGTATATCTGCTTTGGAGAAATGTCTGTTTAGGTCTTCTGCCCATTTTTGGATTGGGTTGTTTGTTTTTTTGTTATTGAGCTGCGTGAGCTGCTTGTAAATTTTAGAGATTAATCCTTTGTCAGTTGCTTCATTTGCAAAAATATTCTCCCATTCTGAGGGTTGTCTTTTAGTCTTGTTTATGGTTTCCTTTGCTGTGCAAAAGCTTTGAAGTTTCATTAGGTCCCATTTGTTTATTTTTGTTTTTATTTCCATTTCTCTAGGAGGTGGGTCAAAAAGGATCTTGCTGTGATTTATGTCAGAGTGTTCTGCCTATGTTTTCCTCTAAGAGTTTGAAAGTGTCTGGCCTTACATTTAGGTCTTTAATCCATTTTGAGCTTATTTTTGTGTATGGTGTTAGGGAGTGTTCTAATCTCATACTTTTACATGTATCTGTCCAGTTTTCCCAGCGCCACTTATTGAAGAGGCTGTTCTTTCTCCACTGTGCATTCCTGTCTCCTTTATCAAAGATAAGGTGACCATATGTGCGTGGGTTTATCTCTGGGCTTTCTATCCTGTTCCATTGATGTATATTTCTGTTTTTGTGCCAGTACCATACTGTCTTGATTACTGTAGCTTTGTAGTATAGTCTGAACTCAGGGAGCCTGATTCCTCCAGCTCCGTTTTTTGTTCTCAAGATTGCTTTTGCTATTCGGGGTCTTTTGTGTTTCCATACAAATTGGGAAATTTTTTGTTCTAGTTCTGTGAAAAATGCCAGTGGTAGTTTGATAGGGATTGCATTGAATCTGTAGATTGCTTTGGGTAGTAGAGTCATTTTCACAATGTTGATTCTTCCAATCCAAGAACATGGTATATGTCTCCATCTATTTGTATCATCTTTAATTTCTTTCATCAGTCTCTTAAAATTTTCTGCATACAGGTCTTTTGTCTCCTTAGGTAGGTTTATTCCTAGATGTTTTATTCTTTTTGTTGCAGTGGTAAATGGGAGTGTTTTGTTGATTTCACTTTCAGATTTTTCATCATTAGTGTATAGGAATGCCAGAGATTTCTGTGCATTAATTTTGTATCCTGCTACTTTACCAAATTCATTGATTAGCTCTAGTAGTTTTCTTGTAACGTCTTTAGGATTCTCTATGTATAGTATCATGTCATCTTCAAACAGTGACAGCTTTACTTCTTCTTTTCCGATTTGGATTCCTTTTATTTCCTTTTCTTCTCTGATTGCTGTGGCTAAAACTTCCAAAACTATGTTGAATAAGAGTGGTGAGAGTGGGCAACCTTGTCTTGTTCCTGATCTTAGTGGAAATGGTGTCAATTTTTCACCATTGAGGACGATGTTGGCTGTGGGTTTGTCGTATATGGTCTTTATTATGTTGAGGAAAGTTCCCTCTATGCCTGCTTTCTGCAGGGTTTTTATCATAAATGGGTGTTGAATTATGTTGAAAGCTTTCTCTGCATCGATTGAGATGATCATATGGTTTTTCTCCTTCAATTTGTTAATATGGTGTATCACGTTGATTGATTTGCGTATATTGCATTCCTGGACTAAACCCCACTTGATCATGGTGCATGATCCTTTTAATGTGCTGTTGGATTCTGTTTGCTAGTATTTTGTTGAGGAGTTTTGCATCTATGTTCATCAGTGATATTGGCCTGTAGTTTGCTTTCTTTGTGACATCCTTGTGTGGTTTTGGTATCAGGGTGATGGTGGCCTCGTAGAATGAGTTGGGGAGTGTTCCTCCCTCTGCTATATTTTGGAAGAGTTTGAGAAGGATAGGTGTTAGGTCTTCTGTAAATGTTTGCTAGAATTCGCCTGTGAAGCCATCTGGTCCTGGGCTTTTGTTTGTTGGAAGATTTTTAATCACAGTTTCAATTTCAGTGCTTGTGATTGGTCTGTTCGTATTTTCTACTTCTTCCTGATTCAGTCTTGGCAGGTTGTGCATTTCTAAGAATTTGTCCTTTTCTTCCAGGTTGTCCATTTTATTGGCATAGAGTTGCTTGTAGTAATCTCTCATGATCCTTTGTATTTCTGCAGTGTCAGTTGTTACTTCTCCTTTTTCATTTCTGATTCTATTGATTTAAGTCTTCTCCCTTTTTTTCTTGATGAGTCTGGCTAATGGTTTATCAATTTTGTTTATCTTCATTTATTTCTCATCTGATCTTTATGATTTCTTTCCTTCTGCTAACTTTGGGTTTTTTTGTTCTTCTTTCTCTAATTGCTTTAGGTGCAAGGTTAGGTTGTTTATTCAAGATGTTTTCTGTTTCTTAAGGTAGGATTGTATTGCTCTAAACTTCCTTCTTAGAACTGCTTTTGCTGTATCCCATAGGTTTTGGGTTGCAACTTTCAGCTTCTTCTCAATAGGAACCTAGCATAGATCCTTAACTATGCAAAGGTTGTCAACCTTGACATATAAAGATTCGCCTGGGTTTAGCCTCCATGTGTTTGTATTTTTTACAGATCTTTTCCTGTAATTGATATCTAGTCTCATGGCGTTGTGGTCGGAAAAGATACTTGATACAATTTCAATTTTCTTAAATTTACCAAGGCTTGATTTGTGACCCAAGATATGATCTATCCTGGAGAATGTTCCATGAGCACTTGAGAAAAATGTGTATTCTGTTGTTTTTGGATGGAGTGTCCTATAAATATCAATTAAGTCCATCTTGTTTAATGTATCATTTAAAGCTTGTGTTTCCTTATTTATTTTCATTTTGGATGATCTGTCCATTGGTGAAAGTGGGGTGTTGAAGTCCCCTACTATGAATGTGTTACTGTCGATTTCCCCTTTTATGGCTGCTAGTTTTTGCCTTATGTATTGAGGTGCTCCTATGTTGGGTGCATAAATATTTACAATTGTTATATCTTCTTCTTGGATCGATCCCTTAATCATTATGTAGTGTCCTTCTTTGTCTCTTGTAATAGTCTTTATTTTAAAGTCTATTTTGTCTGATATGAGAATTGCTACTCAAGCTTTCCTTTGGTTTCCATTTGCATGGAATATCTTTTTCCATCCCCTCACTTGCATTCTGTATGTGTCTGTGGGTCTGAAGTGGATCTCTTGTAGACAGCGTATATATGGGTCTTGTTTTTGTATCCATTCAGCCAGTCTGTGTCTTTTGGTGGGAGCATTTAATCCATTTACATTTAAGGTAATTATCCATATGTATGTTCCTATTCCCATTTTCTTAATTGTTTTGGGTTTGTTATTGTAGGTCTTTTCCTTCTCTTGTATTTCTTGCCTAGAGAAGTTCCTTCCTTTAGCATTTGTTGTAAAGCTGGTTTGGTGGTGCTGAACTCTCTCAGCTTTTGCTTGTCTGTAAAGGTTTTAATTTCTCCATCAAATCTGAATGAGATCCTTGCTGGGTAGAGTAATCTTGGTTGTAGGTTTTTCTCCTTCATCACTTTAATATGTCCTGCCACTCCCTTCTGGCTTGCAGAGTTTCTGCTGAAAGATCAGCTGTTAACCTTATGGGGATTCCCTTGTGTGTTATTTTTCCCTTGCTGCTTTTAATGTGTTTTCTTTGTATTTAATTTTTGACAGTTTGATTAATATGTGTCTTGGTGTGTTTCTCCTTGGATTTATCCTGTATGGGACTCTCTGCTTCCTGGACTTGATTAACTATTTCTTTTCCCATATTAGGGAAGTTTTCAGCTATAATCTCTTCAAATATTTTCTCAGTCTTTTTCTCTTCTTCCTATGGGGCCCCTATAATTCGAATGTTGGTGGGTTTAATGTCCCAGAGGTCTCTGAGACTGTCCTCAGTTCTTTTCACTCTTTTTTCTTTATTTTGCTCTGCAGTGGTTATTTCCACTATTTTATCTTCCAGGTCACTTATCTGTTCTTCTGCCTCAGTTATTCTGCTATTGATCCCTTCCAGAGTATTTTTAATTTCATTTATTGTGTTGTTCATTGTTGCTTGTTTCATCTTTAGTTCTTCTAGGTCCTTGTTAAATGTTTCTTGCATTTTCTCTATTTTATTTCCAAGATTTTGGATTGTCTTTACTATCATTATTCTGAATTCTTTTTCAGGTAGACTGCCTATTTCCTCTTCATTTGTTAGGTCTGGTGGGTTTTAACCTTGCTCCTTCATCTGCTGTGTGTTTTTCTGTCTTCTCATTTTGCTTGTCTTACTGTGTTTGGAGTCTCCTTTTTGCAGGCTGCAGGTTTGTAGTTCCCGTTGTTTTTGGTGTCTGTCCCCAGTGGCTAAAGTTGGTTCAGTGGGTTGTGTAGGCTTCCTGGTGGAGGGGACTAGTGCCTGTGTTCTGGTGGATGAGGCCGGATCTTGTCTTTCTGGTGGGCAGGTCCACGTCTGGTGGTGTGTTTTGGGGTGTCTGTGGACTTATTATGATTTTAGGCAGCCTCTCTGCTAATGGGTGGGGTTGTGTTCCTGTTTTGCTAGTTGTTTGGCATAGGGTGTCCAGCACTGTAGCTTCCTGGTCATTGAGTGAAGCTGGGTGTTGGTGTTGAGATGGAGATCTCTGGGAGAGTTTCGCCATTTGATATTACTTGGAGCTGGGAGGTCTCTTGTGGACCAGCTCTCCCACCTCAGAGGCACAGCACTGACTTCTGGCTGGAGCACCAAGAGCCTTTTCGTCCACACGGCTCTATTACTATCTTTTTGAACCACAGTGCTTGACAGAACAAAGCTTGGGAGTTGACTTGGTGCATAGTCAAGACTTCATTCAGTGTCAGGACATGAAGCAAATTCTCTGTTTCATCCTTGGATCTTAACAATTCAGTTCTTCCCTCACAGAAGTCCACCCGCTGGAGTGAAGGTTCTGAGCTCCATGTCGGGCTTCCCAACCTTCTAGTGTTGGAGGGTCTCCTGCAGAGGCGGGCAGTGGCTGTGACTCACCATGGGAACAAGGACACTGGCAGCAGAAGTTCTGGGAAGTACTCCTTGGCGTGAGCCCTCCCGGAGTCTGCCATTAGCCCCTGGAAGCTATTTTTATAGGCACTTGGAAAGATAATTCAACTTGCTTCATTAATGCAGTATGTTAAGTGTAGTTTAATAACTGCTCTCTTCGGACCCTAAGCAAGAGGAATGTAGAGACCAAAAGTGGATATGAGGGGTGAAGGTTTCTTTTTATGTGTGTGAGAAGTAAATAATGGTATTTGAACACAAGTTATAGGCTCTATAATTATATTTCTGACCTTCCCTGTCTGCTCACTCTTGTCTGTTCCTCACACCCCATTCATTCCTTACCCCTCTGCCATCTGGTTTCTGCATGAAGTCTTCCACTCAGACTGCTCTTGGTGAGAGCTCAGCAGCAGCCCCTTTATTTTCAAACCCAGTAGCCTCAGCAGTTCATATTTTATGTGACCTCCTGGCTGCTTTGGAGAAAACCACTTCTTGTAGAAATTATTATTTTGGCATCTGTGCTCCATTTTATCTTGTTTTTCTGTTTCATTCTTCTTTGCTAATTATTTCACTGATGTGCCCCCATAAATACTGGTTTCTCCAGGATTCTGTTCTTGATCTTTTCATACCACTTCTGGACCAACCCATTAAGTCCAGTACTGCCTGTGTCTGTCTGTTTCCAATTTTGTACCTTTAGCTCATATTTTTCTTTTGGCTTCCTGACTAGCTCTAAGTTGAGCATCCTGCCTCCTCTACTCATTAACATTAGCCTGTCTAGAATGGAACTCATCATATCTTATCAAACTGGCTCTTCTGTTTTTTCTGTTACTTGCACTGTCATCTACCTGCTTAGAAACCTGGGGATCATCTTTGGTCCCTTCCCTTCCCTCATTCTCACGTTAACTATTCCTTCATTTGAAAAACTTGTATTTTGATCCTCCGATAAGTTCCATACATTTTGCTGGGCATTTGCGAATTATTGATTCAAGCTCCCTCGTCTCATTTTCTGCCATGAACTCTCCATCTTGACTGCTAACCTCTTAACTTTAAGGGCTCAATGTCACTCACCTGGACTAGTAGAATAGGCTCTGTGTCCCTGCTTCCAGTTCATCCTTTAGTCGTCCTATGCTGCCCTGCCGGAGGGATTTCTAAAAATGCAAATTTGTTTGTTACTACCCTGCTTAAAAATCTTTAGTGGCCAAAAATAAAATCGTTAGTGGCTTCTCATCACTCATAATGTAAATTCCACCCTCATATCCTGTCTAATCTTCATCTTTTCAATGTTACTTAAGGGCTCCTTTCATATGCCATGATGTCTTAGGCCTCTGCGCTTTTTTTTTTTTTTTTGGTACGCGGGCCTCTCACTGCTGTGGCCTCTCCCACTGCAGAGCACAGGCTCCGGACGCGCAGACCCAGCGGCCATGGCTCACGGGCCCAGGCGCTCTGCGGCATGTGGGATCTTCCCGGACCGGGGCACAAACCCATGTCCCCTGCCTCGACAGGCGGATTCTCAACCACTGCACCACCAGGGAAGCCCAGCCTCTGCGCTTTTGAACAGTCTGTTTCCATCTCTGCAATATTGAATCCCACCCCTGCCCCAGTGTGACAAGCCTGCTGCTGCTTATCTTTCAAAACGCAGCTCAAAAGGATTGCTTCATCTCTTACTTTTATTTCTGCCTCTTTTTGTGCTGTGTCACAGTTGTCTTATCACATTTGACTTTTAATAGATTGTGAGCTTCAAAATAAAGATAGATCAGTAATATTCTTACCAGTATTTGTAGTGACTAGCATGGTGTCCTGACCCAGAGGGTACTTAGCAAACATTTTTTTTAATGGATTAATTCTTTAAAGGATTTAATAGTGACTTTAAAAATGACTTTTTGGTCATATATTTTACTATATTTGTGTTCAGGCTTCCATTGTGAGGTTGTGTGAAGTCGGATCTTTTAACGATTACCATGTCTTCCAAGAACCAATTGAGTTTGGTGAAGTAACTGTGAAAATGTGAAAAAGGAAGAATAAATTGAACTCTATTGTGCTAAACCTAGATTCAAGAGATATGAATCCTAGCTTAGCCATCTACCAGCATTTCATCCTGGGGAAAGTTCAGGCCAAAAGTTTTGGCTTTGGGGGCCATAATTTTCTTGTCTATGAAGTGCCACAGTGATAGTCTGCTTACCCAGTTGGGTTGTTGTGGAGTGTGAATGAAATATGTGGAAGTGCCTAGCACTAGTGCCTGCGCTTAGTAGATTCAGTAAATGTATACTTGAATCTCGAGCATTCACATTGAGAAAAATTTTACTTATGATTGTCGCAGAGTGAATAGATATATCTACTGAAGAGAAATTGGTATATCCTGCTTTAAAAATAGAGGAAAATGCAGAATTGAATTCAATACAAGAGGCTTTATCTCCAGATGATGACTTTTTGCCTCTGGTAATGATTAAATATAAGTTAAGGATTCATGGTAAGCAGTATTGGAAAGAACTTTATTTAAAATTGATGATTCCTTTGACAAGATCTAAATATGAAAAATACTTTTTGTTCCCTTTCTTAAAACTACTGAGAACTAGTCCACGTCTAGAAGGGACCAAAGATACCATCAAACCCATCCTCCTAAACAGTAAATATATGAATCAACTCCAACATAAAAATTTGTTTTCTAATGACTCTTAAAGAAAAGTTTGTATACTTCAGTAATTCATTTTAGTGGCTAATAATTCCTTCACAAAACTCGTCTTAGACTTCATTATTATCGTCATGGAGCTTTGACTTTTTAGTAGTCCCATTTATGCATCATTTTTTTCCAATGCCGTGACTGATTCATAATATTGTCTTCTGTGGACCTAAAATCTTTCTGTGTATTTTAATGAGAAGGTGTTTGTTCTTCTCACTAAACTGTAGTGAGAAGGTATTTGTTCTTCTACAAAACATATACTAAAATTGAAACGGTGGAGATGATTATGGCCGCTTTACAAAATTGTTAGACAAATTTGTACAATGCGTGGATAAAATTTTTTTAAGTAAGTGATTTAAAGGCTGTATGAATTCAGATCAGTTGGGCATGATGGGGTTGAACTCCAAAGTACTTAAGTTGATGAATATTACTGTAGGATCATGAAGTTCCCATTGTTTAAAACTCACGTGAATCTAAGATGGGCTAAAGAAAAATGGATCAGTGTTACAAGATGAAAAAAAGACTGCCAGCTTAAATTTGATAATTTTGAAGATTCTAGAACAAATGGTTTTATGGCCAACGATAAACAGATCTTAAGTATCTATCTAATGAAGAATTGAATTTATAGCAAGGAAGAATTTGGTTTGGTTTAAAAACTATAAGTAATGTCAGAAAATCAAGGTTGAATAGATTTATCTCGTTTGATTTAGGTAGCAACCAGCAGTAAGCAAGGGATTCCAGATTTTTTAAAAATTATCATTAACCCTCCCCCCCTCCCATTTCACAAATAGAGAAAGGGATCCTAAGATTTATATGCTTTTCCCACTGTAACTCAATCATTTATGACCAGATCCCAGGGAGAAAATATCTAATTCCAATCTTGAAGTCTTCTCATCAGACCATGGCAGAATTTGAATACATTATTCAACTGGTCATTTTTGAGAAGCTTCTAATAGAGTTCAGTTTGTTTTTTAACCACAGCAGTGGCATTTGAAATGTTATAAAATACTAAACTTAAGGAATGTCATTGTTGGGGACTTGGAAACTTGAATGTAATTTCTTTAGTATGACCTCCAGAGGAAGTAGAGCAAAACAGTGGTCGGAAGAGACTCAAAATTTTATCCAAGCATACGTTTGCTACGTCATTGATAATCTAGTTTTACATAGTTAATGTGTGCTTTTAAAATTTCTGACAGTGTTTGGTGTATAGAACAGACCAAGCTCAAGATGTAAAGAAGATTGAGAAATTCCACAGTCAACTAATGCGACTTATGGTGGCCAAGGAATCCCGCAGTGTTGCCATGGAAACAGACTGAATGGTTTGAAATGAAGACTGTTATGTTCCTAGGAAGTAAATATCTTTTGAATTTGAGAAAGTGTTGGGACAGAAAATACTTTGTGTAACTAAGTGGGCTATTCAGAAGCCAAGAGATCATTTTTTGTACTTTGTTTTTTAATGTTTACTTTAGAGAGCTAGGACTGTAAATGCTTTCAGTTAGAAAACCTTTATTTATTTTTGGAAATGGAACAAAGAATGGCTCTATCTTGGAAACTTTTTGCAGATTGTTTGATGTTAGGCAAAATAAATAATTACTCTCTGGTAAGTTTGTATCAGTAATTTGAAAATGAGATATCAAGAAAAGCCAATTCTTCCTTAAATTTAGTTAATCTGTCTTTAAAAGAAAAATTAAATGGAACCATTTTGCTGGATTGATATATTTCTTTTGGAGCATAAATTTTGTGCTGTTGATGACCAGCAGATACAAAATACGGTAACTGGAATTAACTGTGCACAGCAGTATAGCTGATTATATATGGTAGTGTAGTCTCAATTATATCTAAAGATAACTATGAAAACAAGTATGTTTTACCTTAAACTTTACAAATTTAAACTATATTTTTAAATATAAGGCATTCATAGTATCATTAACTTGTTGAGCAAAGACTAACTTTGAATCTAATTTTCATGCTCAGAAACATCTGCTGTTACTTTAAATTCATGAACAGAATGCTCACTAATGGATCGAAACCACCATATTACAGAAATATTTGCCATCTATATTTTCTCAGAAGGGCTAAGGATTATTTGAACTGTTAAATTTTTGCATACCTGTCTGACACCCCAACCCATTTCTCGTTACTTAACCAGGGCGTTAAGCATGACTCTCAAAACTGTTCTCCATTAAATCAGAAGTATGCTATTATTTGATATTTATCTTATATTTGTAACCTGAGTTTTACCACCTGAATATAATGTTCACATGTTGATTCTTACATTAAAATTTTTTTTGTTAGGAATTTGTTGTGTTGACCAGCGTTTTAACATGGGAAGTTCCATTAGCCATATGAATTTTGGCATGTTTCAGAGAGATCAGTAAATAAAATATTACACGAATATATATTGTTTCTCTTTAAGTTTTTAACTTCTCGAGAATTACTTATTTCTTGACTGGGATACTCTATATTTAGACTAAAGTGAGCCTAATGATGCTATATATACATTTTAATTTATTTTGTTTCTTGATATTTTTATTATATGACTTTCTCTGAGCTGTATGCTATGGCATTTTGTTTTCTTGATTAAGAAAAGTAACATCAGGGCTTCCCTGGTGGCGCAGTGGTTGAGAGTCCGCCTGCCGATGCAGGGGACACGGGTTCGTGCCCCGGTCTGGGAAGATCCCACGTGCCACGGAGCGGCTGGGCCCGTGAGCCATGGCCGCTGAGCCTGCGCGTCCGGAGCCTGTGCTCCACAGCGGGAGAGGCCACAACAGTGAGAGGCCCGCGTACCGCAAAAAAAAAAAAAAAAAAAAAAGTAACATCAAATAGTATAGGGTTTTTTGGGTTTTGGTGTTTTCCCCCCATAGTAGGATAACCAGAGGTTTTTTGGCCTTTTTCTTTTTCATTTACATCTTTCACTTTTTAACACTATTTCATGAAGATAACTGGGAACGGGGGGGACTTCTGTTTGAGTTCTTTGAGTCCTTGTAGCTTGCAGCAGTGATTAAGGGCAGGGGTTCCAAGGCAGACTGCCTGCGTTGCAATCTTGGCTCCACTGTTCCCCAATCCTGTGGCTTTTGAGACAGTACTTCTCTAAGCCTCCATTTTCTTCTCTGGAAACTGGGCTGACAGTAGTATTCATAGGGCTTTGAGGATTAAATGGCATAATCCCCTTTAAGCCCTTAGCACAGTACCTGGAACACAGTAAAGCTCAATAAACAGTAGCTATTATTACTATTATTATTATGATTGTTATTTTTCAGGGGACTGGGTATAAGTAGCCAGCTCTTAAGTTTTCTCATAATTGTAATTCAGTAGTTACTTATAAGTAATGTTTGCCTTTTCTACCGAGCTATGTCTATTATCAAATGCCATTTTTGGCAGGTGAGGTAAAACAAGATTGTCCCCATGGGGAGTGTTCTTATGTGGTGGGGGAAACTGAAATCCTTAAATCTAAAACATGTTTATTTGTATCTACACAAAATAAAATTATTAAGAGAACTAATTGGTGGTGAAAGTATTGAATCTCTTAAAGACCATATAAATAATAAAACACCAAATTATGTATTCTGAAAATTGCAATGCTGTATACTCTGATTTTTTTTCTTTTATTAGGAAGTATTTCTGGATACTATAATCACACTTTCATGGACTTTTTTTGGTGGGGGGCGCTGCATGTCTGGCTTGCGAGATCTTAGTGCCCCAACCAGGGATCGAGCCCCGGGCCCCAGCAGTGAGAGCCCCAAGTCCTAACCACTGGACCGCCATGGAATTCCCCATGAACTAATTTTTAGCAAACTGTTTTGTGATGTATTTGATCAAATGCTGCTTATTCTAAGGTAATCCAAATGAAGTCATCATAGTAATTAAGATTCTAGGTACAGCTAGCGGTTTTGTTCTTCTCTTGGAAAGACCCACTCTCCTTGGAGCACAGAGCCCATTAAGCATTGTTGGCTACATATGTTCTCTGTTGAAAGGGCTGGCTTCTCCTTTCTCCCTCGCCTGCCAACTTCGTGTCTTAAAAATATAAAATCTCTTAGTCACAGCTCTAAGTCAGTGATTAGAGGCAGTGTTGGCAGCATTTTATAATTGATATCTTCTGTTAGCCTTAGAAAAATCTAACACAACAATATGATGGTAATAGTCTTGAAAGTACAGTTGACCCTTGAACAACATGGGTTTGAACTGCACAGATCCACTTATATGCCAGTTTTTTTCAAAAATGCATAATACAGTAATACACAATCTGCAGTTGGTTGGAATTACAGTTATGGAGGGCCGGCTATAAAGTTAAATGTGGATTTTCTACTGCATAGAGCATCAGCACTCCTAACCCCTGCGTTGTTCAAGGGTCAGCTGTATTCTAAAACTAAGTCAAAATGAGTGAAATGTGAAATTAATTGCCCAAGGACAGTAAGAGGTACTCCTTTCTGCCTACTAAAATGAAACAAAACCAAATCCCTAGTTAATATTTATTGTTCCCCTTTTAGTAAAAAATACCTTTTTGCAGTAATGGCAATATCATAGTATTTAGTATTATTATTATTTTTTTTTGCGGTACGCGGGCCTCTCACCGCTGTGGCCCCTCCCGTTGCGGTCCCCTCTGGGTACAGTAAGTCCTGTAAGCAATAGTCTAATCTTTCGGGAGACACTCTTGCTCTTTTCTGAGAGAAACTCCAGGTCAAATGATGGTCACACGAGTCATCATTGTGCCCCGCTATCCCCGGTTGTGTCTCTGGAGGTGGGAGTTGGAGGGCCTCGTCACTCGAGGTCACTGTGTCCATGGAGCGAACCCTGCAATTTCAGGGCATGGTTGGTGGTTAGGATCACCACGTGGGGTCCTTTTCCGGAGCACAGGCTCCCGACGTGCAGGCTCAGCGGCCATGGCTCACGGGCCCAGCCGCTCCGCGGCACGTGGGATCTTCCCGCACCGGGGCACGAACCCGTGTCCCATGCATCGGCAGGCGGACTCTGAACCACTGCGCCACCAGGGAAGCCCAGTATTATTTCTTCTTCAAACAGAAAGTGTTCCTCTAGTTGTACAGTTAAAATTTATGATAGCATGAGAAGAAAGTCAAAATATTTCATTCTTCTTTCTTCCATGAAAAGTAGTGACTGGGCTGGTTCCAGATGAAGAAGGACACTCCACCATGGCTCTTCCACCGAGTACAGCTGTGAATGCACAGAGCAGCTGTTTGAGGACTCTGAAAAGAAAATAGCAGGTGGGTTGGGCAAGAAGACTAGAATATGAAGGACCACTGACCCAGTGATGAACGAGTCTTATCATTTTCCTCCCTCTGGTATCCCCCAGCCTGAATTCAACACATTGGAAATCTAGAAATGAGTACTGGGGTGCAGACCAGGAGTGCCAGAAGCCTTCGGGTCTGACCCAAGAAGTAGAAGGGTAACTTCTAATATTTGGAGAGAGTGCAGAAATCCTTTTTCTTTTTCTTTCCCCCCCGCTTTTCTGTGTTCTCTTACAGCCCACCCTTAAGCAATCCCATGGTGGTGACAGTGTCAACTACAGGCAATGGGAGTCTGCAGGAGCCTAAACTCAGGGAGATAGCCCTACCTTTCCAGTACGGCTGTGTTTCCAAGAGGGTGGAACCAACCTTCATTTTTTTCCTTTGTTCTCTATCTGCTTGGCCCTGGATGCAAAAGATGGTGGCAGAAGTACACAGGGTAACTAAAGCCAGATTTCTTTTGGCCTGAGAACCAATAGAAGGAATTAGAAAGTACCAGGGAGATCATAGAAAGGAAGGAACTCAAAAAAGTGACCTTATAAAGCTGTTTGTATAGTTCTGAGTCTGCCCCCAATCTCCTAATGTGTATGGATCTGATTCTTCTCAGCATGTTAAAGACTTAGAAACTGAATAGGTAGACCACCACCCAAATCCCAGACCAGCAGTTGGGAGGCATTCACATGCAGTAGGTCCAAAAAGCACTGCAAAAATTTTGAAAGCTGCACCTGTCTTCTGTAGGCTATGATTCCAATGTCAGTTCACCTTTCAAAAACTACCTGGTGTTGAACACCTGAAAGTAACCAAAAGAAACAAAAACAAAAAGCCTTTTTGCCTGCAACCTTACCAGGTTGACTACCTCCTGAAACAAACAAAAACTCTGTATTCTCCATAGGATTTAAACAAGGCCCAGAGTTGGTAACAATATTCAAAATGTCAAGGATACAATCAAAAATTTCCTGGCATAGAAAACTCTCCAAATTTGGTGAAAAACTTAAAACCTATAGATTCAAGAAGGCCAAAGAAATCCATATCATAATGGAAATCCAATCACAATCGTCATGAAACTGGACAATGATCTGGAAAGCAGCCAGTGAAATGCATTATCTATAGGGAAACAATTATTTGAATGACTGGATTTCTCATCAGAAATCATGGAGGCCAGCAGGAAGCGGCACAATATTTCTAAATTGCGGAAAGGAAAGAATTGTCAACCAGAATTCTATATCCACAGAAAATATCCTTCAGGAACAAAAGTGATATAAAGCCATTCTTGGATAAAGGAAAAGGAAGAGAATCCATTGCCAGCA